CCGGATCACCATTATTCTCAAAACTTTCAGAATTTTACAAAATTTTTCAAATCTTCAAAATCCAACAATCTAAAAATTTTTTGTTGTCAAAAATACTCAAGAAATATATCCGATCGTTGAGAAGCTTTTAAAACTGTAAAAATCTTCGAAATTGTCGAAATTTTCAATCTTCCCAAAATTTTCAGAATTTTCGAATTCTCAAAATTTTCAATATTCAGTTTCAAAATTTTGAGATTTTACAAGATCTTGAAAATTTCCAACATTTTCAAAATTTTCTGTTTCCAAAGTTTTCAAAATCTCCAAAATTCTCCAAATTATTGTAGAACGCCTTTATAATTTTCCCTGGCCTTGAAAAACGCAGGGGAATTTCTAGGTTTCTACTGTTCCATGTCAGCGCTCTTTTTTGAGTTTATATTTCCTTTTTGAAATTTTGAGATTTGTTTTAAATTTTGAATTTCGGAAATTTTGAATAATTAGAAAATTCTGGAAACAGGAAATTTTGAAAATGTTGGAAATCATATTTCGAAAATTTTCAAAAGCCTGAAAATTTCAACATTTTCAATATTTCCATTGTTTCCAAAATTTTCAAAATCTAAAATTTTCAAAACTCGAAATTTTAATAATTCTCAAGATTTTCACATTTTTCACAATCTCCAAAATTTTCAAAATTCGTAGACAATTTTTCTCTTAGTGCCGTATTGTCAGTCGTTCCTACAATAATTGTAGGACGCCTTTATGGCCTCTTTGATTTCCATGGTATTCCCTGTCCTTCAGAAAGGCCAGGCAGATTTCTACTGTTCCGTGTCAGCGATCTATTTTGAGGTTATGTTACAAATATCTATTTGCATCAAACTGTTCATGCTTTTGATTTATATCACCTGTTATCTCAGCCGCAAATGTCCTACAATTCGAAAGGCAAACATAACCTCGCAATAGGAAAGCGTTGACGCTGACTCGGAACAGTAGAAATCTAAAAACACCCCAGCCTTACTGAAGGAGAGAAAATACTATGAAAATCAAGGAGGCCATACAGGCGTCCTTGATTTTCATAGTTTTCTACTCTTCCGTGTCAGCGATCTATTTTGAGGTTATGTTACAAACATCTATTTGCATCAAATTGTTCGTGCTTTTCATTTATAACACCTGTTATATCAGCCGCAAATCTCCTACAATTCAAAAGGAAAACATAACCTCACAATAGGAGATCGCTGACTCGGAACAGTAGAAATCTAAAAACACCCCAGCCTTTCTGAAGGACAGAAAATACTATGAAAATCAAGGAGGCCATAAAGGGGTCCTACAATTGTAGGAAAGATTGACGAAACGGCCCTAAACTATATGTTTAACAAAGAATGTACAATTACTATCAAAAGGAGCAAATAAGAATATGATTCACGTTCACCTACATAATCTTGTGTAATGAATACAAATACAAATGAGAATGTAAAATAATACATTGAGAAATCAATCCAACATATTGACAATTCATTTATTATGATAATATAATCGATGAAATCTGAGAAGAAATGTGTGCGGTCCGAGAATGTATAAATATAAATATGTGCTTAAAGGATCAAAGGTTTGATATTATTTCAGATTACATGGATACATGACTGTGTTAACATTTTCATTAGAAACTAACTACTTGAACAATACGATTTTATAACTAGATTCCAGGGGTGCTGGCGACTCACTTTCTTCGATCCATCTAACTTTTACTCACAAGTCATTGAAAAGATTCACTTTTCTCGCTATTTTCGCTCTCGCTATACAGATTGTAGTTTATGCATGTTTTGGAAGGAGCAGTCATCCTTCTCTCAACCCCCACAAAATTAAATGAAGTAAAGGGTCCCCCCCAAGCTGAACCAATATGTATCACATGAGAAATTAGTAGGATTAGATGAAATCTATGTTGGATTTTGATTCAGCTTTGCTAAATGCACTCTGATCTGGAGGATGATGTCTCTCTGACACTAAACAGTAGAAATCTACTAAATACCTTTCGGAAGGACAGCAAAAACTATAAAGGCGTTCTCTATGAATTTTGAAAATGTTCAAGATTTTGAAAATTTGCAGAATTTTGAAAATTTTGGAAACAGAAAATTTTGAAAATGTTGGAAACTTTCAAGATTTTGAAAAATCTCAAAATTTTGAAACTGAATATTGAAAATTTTGAGAATTCGAAAATTCTCAGATTGAAAATTTTGACTTAAAAATTTTGAGTTTCGAAAATGTTTTAATTTTGAAAATTTAGAAGATTCCGAAAATTTTGGGAGCATTGCAGATTTTGAAAATGTTGAAGATTTTTAGGATTTCGAGAAATTTTGAAAATTCGAAATTTCTGAAAAATTTGAAATGTTTGAAAATTCTGGGAAGATTGAAAATTTCGACAATATCGAAGATTTTGGAGTTTGAAAGTTCTTAAAATTTCGATACGTTCCTATTGTACAATCCTCAAGAAAGGGTTATATTTCTTGAGTATTTTTAAAAACTGAAAAATTCTTAAATGTTGAAGGTTTTGAAAATTAAAAAAAATTATTTCATTAGCACCTCGTATTAATTATACTTGGAGGATGATGTCTATCTGATATGAAAGAGTAGAAATCTATAAATACCTTTCTGAAAGACACATGAATTTTAAAAGTTTTAAATTTGCCGGGGATTTTTCTCTAGAGGTTTTTGCCGTTTTTCTCAAAACTACAAAAAATCGATTTATCGGTTTTTGAAGTTTTGCTCTTCAATTATACTTGGGAGGATGATGTTTCTCTGACACGAAACAATAGAAATCTAGACATACCCCAGGGGCCATCTGAAGGACAGAAAAAACTATGAAAATCAATGAGGCCATAAAGGCGTCCTACAAAATTGTAGGTACGACTGTCGTAAGCCCCTAAGAAAAAAGTTCTTTACGAATTTAGAAAATATTAAAAATATTGAGAATATAGAAAATGTTGATTTTCGAAAATTTTTAAAATTTGAAGGGTGCATGCCACCGATGACCTTAAATGTCTCAATCAAGTCCTTTTGTAATCCTATCAAATTCATAGCCCTTAGATGTTGTTCATGTAGCAAATGTCGAATCTTGATGGCATTTGCATTATTTTATCTTGCACTCTTTTTAATAGTCTGATGTCTGTTTGTATAACTTTTCTATGATAATTCCCCCTTTAAGAGGGACATAGGAAATAGGCAATAAAAAGCATTTGCAAGAGTAAAGGAAATGAAAAATTATTTGGGATATATATCTGATATATTCATTAATTTATTTTAATGGAAGTAGTCATGTTCGATTCTAGATGATGGAAAATTTTATATATACCTGTATATATGGAGGTATGGGATAAGTTAGAAACGGATCAAACATCATGGATCACCAATTTTTAGGACATCTAACTTCCACTCAGCAGTATTAACAGTTCTGTTGTTCAACTTGTCATGGCTCTCACATTAAAAGTAAGTCCATTTCCAAAGTACTTTTTTGGGGACAGTTGAAGACCTCATTGACATCTACAGCGGATATTGAAAGAACTTTTGCATCGTCCAATCTGATTTACGTAATAGCTTACGAAACCAACAAGCCAGTAAAAGTTGGCTTTCAGGTTCAAGTGCGTGGATCAAAATATAGACAAAAAGAAAAGCAATCTTGAATAGACATGGGAATCAGCTTTATCTGCAGATACTGGAATCAATGTCACTAGACACCATTATTGATACCAGTTCATTAGATGAGGATATGCCAATATCAATGTTAATAAAATAAAAATATTCTGTTCATTTTGTAATGGTTTTTTTATTAGAGGTAAAATAAAATGTTTTTTGTTTAGAACATAAGTTTTTGTGTGTTTGTGTCAAAATGGATAAAATAATCCTGTTTTTTTGAATGACTGACAATTTTACAAAATGGATATGTCATGTGATATATTTTTATAAATATCGCGATATTTTCGAATCCTGGCTTAAAGAAGCACATAATAAAATATTTAGACTTATTTAGAGCTACTCAATACATCAATGAATAGTGACGAAATACTCAGCACTGAAGTGCCACCTAGTGATCTTCAAAAAACATTATTTTTCCATATTTCTAGATTCAATCTAACTCAAGTGTTTAAAGCTACTAGATTTGAACAACATGTGAATATTGATGTGCCATTTACTCATCTTACGAAAAGTACTAATCTCATTACATTTTGCACAAAATATTCATACATGTTTCATATTCCAACAATATAACCTCTCAAGATTCAATTACGTTTTCTAGCTACATATCTAGTACCCATGATTGCCTATGATCTAGGTACACATTGTTGCTAACTCTTTAACAAAAATTACATCTTTCCAATGCACATTGTATACCGCTGTGTTCGGGGAAAAGGATATAATTCAAATTGTGATAGTGATTACCAAAATGTGGAACCACAGAGGAAGCAAGATAAACATATCTAACCTCTTTCTACCCGACCACGTTTCAATAACCAGTTCATACGATAAAAGCCGACGTATCCAACATTAAATCAAATCAAAATGCGTATATATTTCACCCCTATTTACATTACAGGATTCTACCCTCTGGATTGATAAAGTGGTATTTAAAATCATCCTAAATGTACATAGATTTTTTTGTAAAGAATCAATGTCATTCCCGGGGCATCAAAGAAGCTAAAATAAACGTAATACCTCGGGGTGGGAATGCAAAACAGAAAAAACATTATACAGAAGCCTAAAGTGCGACAGAGACGATTTTTAAAGCCGTTGGAATGTCATTTGGGGAGGGTCAAGGTAGGCTATGCTTTACTTGACTTTTCCAACTAGCTTTTATTTATGTTTTATTAAAATTGATTGCTTGGATGTTGGCTTAAACAATTTCTTTGAAGAAATCGCAGCATGCGGTGAATATGTGTGGGTTTTAAACGAAAAATGCAATGAACCCAACCCCTATGTGGAAAGCATAGGTGGTTAGAATACCGGTAAAATATGAACAAACCCCTACGGATACTCACCTTTTATTAGTTGCAAGGCCAGCTAGATGAACTGCGCTCGATATCCTGTGAACGTGTACGATATTTTTCGCAACCACTATCGAATATACTACATGTTCCGGGCGACTAAACAAAATGGTTTCCTAGGTACTCTGACCGCCTATCGAGTATAGGTTGGACCGAATTGCGAGCCAGCAAGGCATCGGGAATGCACGGAAGCCCGCCTGAACTAATGCGCCAACATTTGAGAGTTACGATTGATCATTTGCCCGGGTTTTTCGCGGATTTTCGGCACGGAAAATGATGGAAATCGCGAGTTTAATCCCCCGTCCAGGCGTTCGCACCACGGCAGTTACAAAACATCTGCCATCTGTAGCGGCATTGGCGCGAAGTGGCGCGCACGCGCGTTGCGTCAACGTTCCAGATGATCCCGATTTAAAGTCATTCTCCCTTCTACCTAAGATCGAATTTAGGGATAGAACTGTCACTGCAAATGCGATGGGATAGACCGAACTCGAATTTTTCAGAGAGATTAAGGTATTTTTCGATGAGGCTGAGAGCAAATACGTTCGTTAACCTATTTGACAGATACGTGCAGTGCGCTCGGATGTAAACAAATATGGCTATGAAGTCGCGGTTGCCACGTTGAGCAACGGATTTTCTGCAGTTGAGGAGCGCGATCAGCTGCAATAGTACAGGGGCGGTTCCATAGTATCTGAAAGTTGGAGGCCACGTACCGTGTTATAAATGGAGTCAAGTAGATGCGCTCAGTACTTCGGACTCAGTGAAATTATGCGACTCTTACTACAAAACGATTGGTAAATTATAAAAACGCTAGAAATATGGTTTTTATAAGTATAATTCAATATTCTTGCACCACAAGGCAGCAGGAAAGTCAAATAAAAACAAAATTTCTTATTTTGATTAAGAATTTGAGTTCTCAAAGAAATGGGGGTGGGTCCAAAGTTATCAGAAACTCGAAATAGATCGAAAAACGAAGTTTGAGGATATTATAAAATGGTTGCCCTTGTGACAATTTTTTTTCTAATATGGTATATTCTCGATCTAGATTAAATTTCGTTCTTTGAGCTGAATTAGGTAGATTACATCAATAGTGAAAGATGCACCTTCCATCTTTTTCCTTCGTCTGAAAAACTGCAACAATGTACCTGGAATTTGTTCTGTCTGTCGTAAATTTCTCACAAGCCTAATCAAGGTAGATATTTCCACCAGTAGGTATTATTATTATGTTGATTATGTTGATCGCTTTCACTTTGGTAGGCTTTGGTCAAAGGTACGTACTAAGGGCAGTATCGTCAGTCGTTCCTACAATTGTAGGACGCCTTTTTGGTCTCGTTGATTCTCATAGTCTTTTCTCTGCTTCAGCCAGGCTGGGCTATTTCTAGATTTCTACTGTTCCGTGTCAGCATCAGCTCTCCTATTGTGATGCTATGTTTTCTTTTTGATATGTGGGAAATTTCAGCTGATATAACAGATGATGTAAATCAAAAGTATGAACAATTTGATGCAAACATAACCTCAAAACAAAGCGCGATTCGAATTCGTTGTTCAGAACCGCACGGGTATCACATATCTTGAAAAGTGACATTATGCCGATTTTTTTTTGACATTATGCAGGTTATTCTACAAGATGTTAACTTAGCACTTAGTTGTGCGTGTTGCCTAAACGTCGTGAGGCTTGTTATCAATCTTTGGCTCTGATGTGGTGTAACATCTGCTTCTGAGATGGCATTACCAACTTTCATCTCAGAGATAAAACTACAGACACGGATCACTCATCCTCACAAAACTATGCAACCAGTAATGCGTGTAGTTTAGTTGAGTGATTCCTCCATAGATGGACGTTCACAACGATCCTAGTGGGAAAACGTGTTTTTGATGTTTTGTAGGGTTTTTACATGATACCCGTGTCGATCTACCTCTCGCAAAGAGGATTTGGTTGGATTGGATGCAGACAAATCGGGATCGTATATTCCATGTCAAACTGTCAACGTTAGAGAATTAAGATTACATTGGAATGTTGATGGAACCTAACCTGCATGGTATATATATATATATATATATATATATATATATATATATATATATATATATGTATATTATAAGAAAATGTCGTTGAAAGACTTCACGCTAGAACATTTATTGTCACAGCTTTGACGCGAACTTTAAACAAATTTCGTTCAGAGAAAAAGTAAAAACGTCCAGAATACACTTTTTTGTATCAAGGCATTGAATAACAGGGAACTATTGAAGAACTTATACGACCAGGCACTATTAGCGACAGGCAGCAATTTGACACTGTTGACATAAACGCATGCGAGGTTTGTCGCACTGTTACGTCACCAATCAAAATAATAGGGAGTTATTGAAATACTGCCATCCACTATATCTTTATATTTATCTTTATTAACCACTTAGATACAGGATAGTATACCTTATTTCACGAGTATCCATCGTCTACTGAGGTGAACAGCTGATCAGCAAGTGACATTTTTGTCTCTGCGAAGTTGTCAATAATGGATTGGGTTGGAAATCTAGTAAAACTTATTTGTAGCAAAACAAAATACCGCGCTGACTACCTGACGTTGACGCATCCGCCAGAATTATGTGTCCTGTTCCGATATGGGGAATTTTGAAATATTACTAGATAACCAGCTGTCGTTCTACCTTGATGGATACTCGTGCAATAAGGTATACATATGATGAAAAAAAAGTAATATATAAGCTATATAATATACATAAATGCCGACCTTACTCTAATGATGACAAGTGGAGACTGATCTTAAAATTGTTTCAGAATTAGAGTTTATGGTATTGCAGGGATGACAAAATTTCTAACCTAAAAATATTGGGATAATTAAACTTTTATCTCGTTGAAAAGTGCTATTGTTTTTGTACTTCTTCGTGTTTTGCAACTTGTAGTTAAATTTTTTTGATTTGAATTTTACGGCCAAGGGGTCCATAATTTTTACAAATTAAACTTCAATCAGCAAACAGTACAAAATAATAGCGAGAAAACGGCAATAATTTTTTTTATCTGCGAAAACTACGATAAAAAGTAAGGTTAGGCCAGAAATTATTAGTGCCTAGCTTTATTGGACATTCTAGCCTCTAACTAGGGAGGCGGAGGAATATGAGCTGAAACAGCCAAGTCCTCATTAGACATTATTTACAACTTTGACATTCCTCGCACGTGTCAACACTGCCAACTTGACTTTTCCAAGTTGATGATTGTTTTAGATAGTTTTGGTTATTTGATTTTGATTCTCATCGTCCCATGTGATTTTCACTTTCAAACTCCTGGCGGCGGTGTGTGCTTTGGGGTACAAGGTATAGTCTGAATAGATTGTTAAAATTGATGAGCTGACAGCTGCCAGTAAAGCTTAAGGCCATGTCTGAACATGTAATCAATAAATATATTTTTACATCACATGTCTTCAAAATAAAGATTTTGGAAAATACCCCAATGCTGTTCTTTGCCTTTACCGATTTACCTTAACAATAAATCCACGGATTTCTTCATGAATTGTGAAGTGTAAAACAATTTGTCGTCAAATAAATCCATAAGGTGCAAGAAATTGTTGTGTGACTGGCAGCATAGAGTACTAACAGGTATCCATGCATTTGTCCATTGATTTAAACACCACAAAATATAATCAGGATGACCTTTAATAAATCCATCTGAAGAAATTCGTGAAAATGTCTCAGTAAAACGGGTATTATGATCTAATATAAAAGCCGTACCTGCATGTGAGGCTGCCAATTCTAAGAAATCACTCACCGTTATCTTTATCAATGATGTAAAATGGACTATGTAATTCTGGGAATCACATACATGTCCTGTTAGAATTTTTTCAGTAAATAATTCTTACTTTCTTTATTATTTAATGGCTCAACATTTCGAAAGTAAGTATGTGCTTCTTGCGTCTAAAAACCGGCACTGCGTGTGTGAGGTTGCCAGGTTTACCGGAAAATACCTATTTTTGTTGAGTCCATCGTTTTTGGAATAATTATACCGAGAAGCAGGTGCCTGATTCTAATTGAATTTCGACAATTGGAGTTAATTTCAATGGCGCCTTGTTATCGTGCATAATTTTGACGCTGATATGATCATTTGAATATCGAAAATCGCTAGAATCAGATGTCACAATTATCATTATTGATCGTATGGACGGGAAGGCGACATCAAAATTGATTCAAACGGTCTAAATTCACTTGATTTACAAACTAGGTGTCCGTCGTTGTGTTACTCGGTATAACTCGGAGCTACCCACTACATGTCAATACCGTTCCAGTGCTTTAGAGTGTCACGCACCTTTTTATTCGGTGTTAAGCGCTCCGAAATAGTGGGGATAACGAAAATGACAATGTGTCAAGATTGTTAGGTTAAGTTTTTTCATGGTTTTTGTTTTTTAGCATTAAACTCACATTAAACCGATACTAGACGATGGAGGACGGTAAAAGAACTGATAATCTTATGACCCAGAGTCACGACATGCATTTGAGATGTTCCTGAATAATAAAGATCGCAAGATAGTGCAATAAGTAGACACACAATAATTTTGAATGTCTACACTGAAATATGAATTCGACACATTTATCCAGAACCTTTACAATAAAAATGCAGACCTATGACTTGTTGCTCCATCATTCTAAGAGCATCATCATTCATCAATTGGATAGCCTGACAATGTCTCTAAAGTAAAGGCAAAATGTGTTTACATTTTCATTGTTTGGCAGTCAACATCAAAAAAACAGGTTAGGTTTTTATCATCATGTTCCCGTGCACATTTGCTACAGCAGTTCGGGAGTGTCACACTCCTGGTGCATACAACTATCAATTCAAAAACACTGGAAAGTGGCTCATGTATACACTCTTGTCGTTTGTCGTTGCCTTTAACTTTTGTTGGTGCAGTTAACCACAAAATCTGAAAGGGATCTTTAGGAGAGCGTCGACTGATGAGGTTCATTTCCCGAATCCATGTCATTTAGACAAAAGTTGTGACGATCACAATAAACAATCTTCGCTTTGGGATTGAGGTTATGTATGCGCTAAGTTCCTGAAAGTTTCAGCTTGCAGTTTATACACTGCTATTGAACGGCAACGACCAACTACAACGACAATGGCGAGTTCAAGGCCCAAGATTTGAACAGCTAGTAGCTAGGCAACATCATATCATTATGTTGTACGGATTATTGTATCTGGTAGACAGGAATTTCTTGTTGTAAATAATACAAGCTGAATCTTATCGTTCAAGGGCATTAAAACACAGAAATATGTTATAGCTCTTTACACGTTAACATCACAATATCTGTTCAATGGTGAGTAGACCTCATCTGCTACACCGCCAGAATCGTCAGCTTCTAGCGGTCACTGGGCTATGAAATGCGAGCTGAGATGTTTACAGTTCCAACCGATAGCTGCTATTCACTCCCGCAGTGTTCGATTTCGATAATAGATGGCGCTTTGTATTGTCTTATTTCGATTGGTCTCATACTTCGGATATAGGATGGTGTTGCTATGCTGACGTTCGTTCTCTACCTGAGACCAAGCCTTAAACATGCTGATCAGTTGCCTAAAAGCATGA